CTCTATGATTTTCTTCTTTGAAAATGTTCTTTCAAAACAATATTTCAAATGTAAATCACAGATTCTTTCCATGACAAAAAATATTGATAGTATGCCAAAAGGGTAAAGTAACAAGGTAATAAGCTGCTAGTCTACTTTTCCAGAGTTACTTTAGTCCAAAATGTTAGCATCAAGTATTGTATTTCCAAGAAGAACTCTACCTGACTATTTTTGGGGTTTAGTAGAAAACCTGGATAAGCTAGTTATTTTCATACCTAGTTTTTAAGAGTACTGTCCTGCAAAACATAAACCCTAATTCCTTCTGTTCTCTATCACCTTTTGTTTCTCAGCTGCATAGACTGTGCCAGCTCCACTTTTAATTAAGGAAATAATGTCACGATCATCTCACTGATGCTTAACCATGATTTTGTAAACTGGTGTGTCAATCTTTTACAGTAGCTATAAGATCTTAGAACAGGTGCTTTCTCAGGATCTTGACATGCTCATCTTTACATGAAATAAAATTTTATGATTATCTTTTATTTGCCAAAACTTTCTAAATTTGCTCATGTTTTATAAGAAATTGACCCTCAACAATTTCTAAACGAAGATATTCTCATTCTTCAGATAGATTTTCAAGATCACGCTTATTTACTTTGTTGTTGCTGTGACGTGCCATCGAGTCTTTACTTAGGTGCCATCAAATTAGTAATGACTCATAGCGACCTTATGCACAACAGAAGGAAACTCTGCCCAGTCCTGTGCTAATTTCACAGTAGATGCTACACTTGAGCCCATAGCTGCTGCCACAGTGCCAAAATAATTTGTTGGGATCTTTCTCTTTTCTGCTGACTCCCTATTTTACCAAGCATGATGTCTTTCTCCAAGGACTGGTTTCTCCTGATTGTTGTTAAGTGCCATCGAGTCAGTACTGACTCACAGTGACCTTATGCACAGCAGAACAAAACATTGTCCAATCCTAGGCCAACCTCACTACTGTTGCCACGCTTGAGCCCATTGATGCTGCCACTTTGCCAATCCATCTCACTGGGATCTTCCTCTTTTTCTCTGACAACCCACATTAACAAACATGATATCCTTCTCCAAGGACTGGTTCCTCCTGATAGTATGACCGAATTATGAGAGACAGTCTCACCATCCTGGCTTCAAAAAACATGCTGTCCATACTTCTTCCATCCAACATAGATTTGTTGGTACTTTTAATATTATCCTTCAAAACCATAACTCAAATGCATCAATTCTTCTATGATCTTCCTTATTCACTATCCAACTTTCACATGCATAATATGTTGGTGGTGTTGTGAAGTGTCATCAAGTCTGTTCCGACTCATAGCAACCCTGTGGCAAGGTTTCTGAGGAGCAGCTGGTGAACTTGAACCATGATCATGCGGTTCCAGCCGCCTTTGCAGTCCAGTACTTGAATGCACAGCACCACACATAAATATGAGGTTAATGAAAATACCATGGCTTGGGTCATGCACACCTTAGTCCTCACACTGACAACTATGCTCTTCAACACATTAAAGAGGGCTTGTGCAGCAGATTTACCTAATGCAGTATGTCAGAAACCCTAGGCTGCCGTTGTTACTAAGTGCTGTTGAGTCAATTCTGACTCAGCAACTCCATGCACAACAGAACAAAACCCTGCCCAGTTCAGCTCGAACCTCACAATTGTTGCGACACTTGAGCCCACTGATGCTGACCCTGTTGTTGTTACAAAACTTCTACCTTTATAGTTGTGACCATCACAATTATTCATGATAACAATTGCTCACTATTGAATCATAAGAACCTTATCACCATCTCTTTTCACCCGACCTGTCTAGACAAGATGAAAACTATTCAATGTGGACTCTATCACATAGTCTCCACAAGAGGCCTATTTCACTGGGCAAGTTCTAGAATACCTTTAAGGTATTTCAACCAGTTACAGGCTGAAGACAGGCTTACAAGCTTTCTGTAATCATGTTTCTCAACATTCCTTACTATCCCACTCAAGTGTTTGCTTTACAATAGTAGGCAAGGGAAGTCAATATTCATAAGACAGTCAAGCATCTTAGTGTTATTTCCCTTCTTCAGACTATGCCTCGATCCCTGTATCACAAAGCCCTGTTGTTCCAAGGTTGAGCATGCATCACTATTTACCTCTGTCCTATTTAGCCCATGTAAACCTGTCTCAGTGTTCCCTTATCTACTTTGTTCTTTCACCCCCATCCCCTTCTTGTGTACTGCCCTATTCAACATCTGAACTATGATGTGTCTGCCCCCTACCCTGTGTTCTACCCTCCCCTCCTTCCACCTCTCCCAAATTCCCCCTCCCCACCCCATCCCCACCAGTAACTAACAAAGAATTTCCCCCCCCCTTTAGTATGGTTATCTTTTCTTAAGCTTTTACATTAATGATCTTATACAATATTTGCCCTTTTGTGACTGACTAATTTCACTCATCATAATGTTCTCAAGGTTCATCCATGTTATGTGGTGGCTTGCAAGGTAACATAATATTCCTTTGTGTGTATGTCCCAAAGTTTGTTTATACATTCTTCCAATGATAGGTACTTAGGCTGTCTCCAACTTTTTGCTATTGTGAATAGTGCTGCTATGAACATTGGTTTAATTTCTTGACTGCTGTTTCCATGAGTGTTGATGGTTGATCCAAGCAAAATGAAGTCTTTGACAACTTCAGTCTTTTCTACACTTATATGGATATTGTTTATTTGTCCAGTGGTGAGGATTTTTGTTTTCTTTACAATGAGGTGCAACCCATACTGAAGGCTCTGGTCTTTGATCTTCATCAGTAAGTATTTCAAGTCCACTTCACTTTCAGCAAGCAAGGTTGTATCATCTGCATATTACAGATTGTTAATGAGCCTTCCTCCAATCCTGATGCCATGTTCTTCAGTATAATTCATCTTGTCTGGACATTTGTTTAGCATACAGATTGAATAAGAGTGGTGAAAGAATACAAACTGATTTTAAACCATTCAGTGTTCCCTTGTTCTGTTCAAATAACTGCCTTAGTCCATTATACTTCCTTAAAAGCACAATTAAGTGTTCCCAGAATGTTCATTCTCCACAATGTTGTCCATAGCTTGTCATGATCCTTACAATCGAAAGCCTTTGGGTAGACAAGAAAGCACAGGTGAACATCTTTCTGGTATTCTCTGCTTTCAGCCAAGATCCATCTGATATCAGTAATAATATCCTTCATTCTACATTCTCGTCTGAATCCAGCTTGAAATGGCAGTTCCCTGTTGATGTATTGTTGTAGCCATTTTAAATTATCTTTAACAAAATTTTACTTGCATGTGATATTGTCTGATGATTTCCACATTCCATTGGGTGACCCTCTCTTTGTAATAGGCATAAAATATTCCAATAATCTTTAAATCAAAATGCTAAAAATCTTGTCAAAAGCAATAGAAGGAAAAAAGATTAGTGAGTCCACAAGTTCCAGTTCTGTTTTTACTGCAAGTCCAAAGTAAACAAATCTTTAAAAAATACCTTGTTCTCTATCTAGTTTTGCTCTGGTAGTGTAGTGGTTACGACTCAGGCTGCAAACCACAAGGTCAGCAGTTCAATACTACCAGCTGTTCCGCGGGAAAAAGATGAGGCGTTCTGCTCCCGTAAAGATTTACAGCCTCGGAAACCCTGTACAGGGTCGCTATGGGTCGGAACCGACTCCACGGCACACAGCCACCACCACCACTGACTAAAAGCAACCCTATACAACAGATTAAAATTGCCAAAATGGATTTTCCAGACTACAGCTTTTATAAGAGGAGATAGCTAAGTCTTTTCTCCTGTGTAGTCATTATTGGGATCAAAAAACTAATTATTTGGTTAACAGATAAATGCTTAACTATTGCAGTACTAGGGTTCCTTGTTCTTGGACTATAAGTACTTATATTACTATAACCAAAAGGTGACAAATTTCATTCACAGAAAATTTTATAAAACTCTTAAGATAAATTTTATGAAACTCAAAAATTAATTAATTACTAACAACTACAGTAAATAGAAAGATAAGACACATTAATAAATAAAGTCTTCGAAGTGAAACAGGTAATAATTAGAATCAGTGCTAATTAGGACTACATTTTCAAATGGGAAATCAAAGAGAATATATGTTAGTATTTACTTTATAGTTATATCATGAATAATCATCTGTCAATTTAAGGGTAATTAATATACTTTTTAAATATATGTTTTGGAGTCTTGGTGCGGTGCTGCAAGTTAATGCGTTGAACCGCAAGGCTGGTTTTAATGCAAGGTTGGCGGTTCAAACTCACCAGCCACTCCTCGGAAACCCTATACACCGTCACTATGAGTCAGAATAGACTCTATGGCACTTACAACAACAATGATGTTTTACAGACTGAATGACTGAATGAATTTCCACAGTGTGGTGCACAGAGTAGGCCCTAAGTAAATATGTTGGATAAATTATTGGACTGAGACCAAGGCTCTTTTTGAAAACTAAGACTATAAAAGTGTCAAATGCTTGCAGAAACACATTACTGATTACTTTGGGATAAACGAAAACAGACCACCTTAGTTCAAACCAAATGAAAATATAAATAACAGTCAAGAAAAAATGTGAAATGTTCTCCCCACTCTCAATGAATTATATTCTGCCATTTTATATTCAGACAGGAACAAATTTTTAAGTGGACTAGCCTCTCAAAATTCAGTGTAAAATATTAGAAATACAAATGAGAAGGCCATGTCTTCTTTATGTTCCCCATTGACTCACGAGATCTGAATGAACACTTACCAGAGCATGTGCTGATTCCTTTCCTTTTAGGTTCAGTGGATTGAACAAGGCAGAGTCAAGATTAAATCAAAGAAAAGTTTCTGTATGTCAACAGTCATAACTCATTTTACATTTAATTAAGATTGCTGCATATAATGTATACTTATCATGTGTAGCTCAACTGTATACACATATTTTTTAAAAGAAATCATTTTTATCATTTTCATAATACATTAAATTATACCTTAATTTTTTTCTCTTGCATTGACTTCTGGATACGATCTCTTAGGGGTTTCACTGATGAATTATTCACTTGTGTGGGAGATCTATGTCAACAACAACAAAAAAAGGTAAAAATTTATCATCAAAAGTTAACTTTTAAGCTAGTTTCCCTTCTTTCCTAACTGAAAACACAGTTACAGGATAAAAGATAACTGAACTTAGCTGTTGACATTATTGTTAATGTTACTTGCCATTGAGTTGACTCGGGTTCATAGTGACCCTATAAGGGTCCAATGGAACAGAGCAGAATTATCCTATAGTTTCCAAGGCTGAAATCTTTACCAAAGTAAACTGTCACATATTTCTCCAGTGGAGTTATCTGGTGAGTTCAAGCTGCCAATCTTTCAGTTGGAAGCTGGGTTCTTAACTAGCAATCCTAATTATAATACTAAATAAAATGTGATCTGAGAATTCTAAAAAATAGTAATAATTTGATTGATTAATTAAATCAGTTACTAAATATATAAGAGTCTACTACTTAAAACAGATTGTACAATGCATTGTAACAGAAAGTACAATGATTCATACATTGGCTATGGATTCCAATATCCTGAAGTCTAAGCAAAGAAAGAAGATATCCAAATACACAAAATTCAAAGTAGAAAATAACAAGTGCTATAACAGGAATATAAGTATAGGCAGTCTCTGACTTACAACATATTTTACAACAAACCACACTTATGACCATCCACTCTTTTATGTACATCTTAATTGTTAGTGATTAATCATTTACTACCAAGTGTTCTGCGGGAGAAAGATGAGGCTTTTTGCTCCCGTAAAGATTTACAGCCTCAGAAACCCTGTGCAGAGTAGCTAAGAGTTGGAATCGACTCTACGGCACATAACAACAACCACAACAACAACATGCAATATTGCAAGGAGCTCTGGTAGCGTAGCGGTTACAAGTTAAGGTCAGCAGTTGAAACTACCAGCAGTTCTGTGGAAGAAAGACGAGGCTTTCTGCTCCTGTAGAGATTTATAGCATCAGAAACCCTATACAGGGTCGCTATTAGTTGGAACTGACTCCACAGCACACCACCACCACCACATGCAATGTTGCAGTGTGTAATTTTCTGATGTTCTCATTCTTAGAGGCTCACTCATAGATACTCAATTTTATGTTTTACTGTTCAAAACACTGCCATATAGATTTAGTTTTCTAAATCAAAACAGAGTTTCAGTTGCTTGGAAACATGGGCCCAAATGCTGGTCACTTTGCTAGAATCAATATACTGATTCAGGAAGGAGTAACTGAGCTGTTACTGCAAAATACAGAAAACAAAAAAGAAAAGGATCATACAGACAATTCTCACTAAGTTTCTGACTGGAAATGTCATTCTCATCCCCAGGAATATCACGCTTGGTAAGGTGGAGGTTGGAGAAAAAGAGCAAGCTCTCCAACGAGATGGACTGGCAAAGTGGCAGCAGCAGTGGGCTCAAACGTAGCAAATATTGTGAGATTGGGACGGTACCTGGCAGTGTTTCATTCCATTGTGCATAGGGTCGCTATGAGTTGGTACTGACTCAATGGCACCTCACACCAACAACAACGATCCACAAGGTCTCCTGGTGTGGCGCTGTAGGTTCAGCACTGAACTATGAACCACAAGATCAGCAGTTCAAACCTACCAGTTGCAAGCTGGAAACCCTATACAGGGTCACTATGAGTTGGAGCTGCCTCTACAGCACTTAACAACAACAAATGAACCATAAGGTCAGCTTTCTGACCCTACAAAGGTTTAAAGCCATGGAAAGATGAGGCTTTCTGTTCTTGCAAAGATTAAAAGCCTCAGAAACCCTATAAGAGTCTAAACCAACTTTACAGCAGTTAACAGTGTTACTGACCTAATTGTTATTAACCTGGAAAGCATCAGGTCTTACACACACTCTCAGGACAAATTCAGGCTTTGGAGACAGAAACACTTGGCATTAGCTAAATGAGCTCTCCAGGGTAGATTACTTAGTATCACCCTCATGTGTCCGCTCACTCACTCACACAGTGGGGATGTTATTAAATGGGGGTTTTGTGAGGGTTCAGATAACATAAGTGAAAGCGTTTAACAAAGTTGTCTGACATATAGAAAATCTAATAAATACTGTAAAAACAACAAAAATAGGAAAAACAATTCGAAATACAAAAACACCTGACATTCTCTCATATAGCCCCTCTTTCTTCTTATTTAAGTTCTCAATCTCGCTTTTATTTTATTTTATTTTTTTGTCTTTCTTTAGACTATTCTGTGGAGCAATGGTGACACAGTGAGTTAAGTGTTGAGCTGCTAACTGAAAGGTCATAAGTATGAACTCAGTTGCCACTCCACAGGAGAAAGATAAGGCAGTCTGCTTCCACAAAAATTTATATATAGCCTTGGAGACCCTGTAGAGTGGTTCTACCTTGTCCTACAGGGCAGCTATGAGTCAGAATCAACTCGACGGCCGTAGGTTTGCTTTGTTATCCTGTAGTTTCTAAATTTCCTCTGATAAGCATTTTTCTCTTTACAGACTAGAGCTAACAGTACATACATATAATTTCCACATCACTTACCTGAAAAGCATAAGAAGAGAAACACCATTATAATGAATTGTATTTTCATCATCATATAAAAGTTCTGCTTTGTTTTTGGTAGGAGCATCAGCAGCTTCCTCATCCAAAAGAACTAGTAATGTTTTCACAGTATCTCTGCCACAGTATGCAGTGCCATGGTTTATGGCGTGTGATTTTGGCTAGAACAAATAGTAATTTTAAGTAAATATCATAATCACCCTAGATGAGTGCATCAGTCACACTTTTTCCATGTTATGTGCCACTGTTCTCTCCTTTCTTCTCTGAAGTAATAATAAAAATAAAAAAGTAAAAAAATAAACTCTGAGAGTTGCCTATAAAGCTTATGACTACTTTTCTTTTAAGCTTTTACTAATTTCCAGATGCAGAAATGAATACAGAAAATAGTATTATCAAAGGAAGGCTTTGGGTTCTAGTCAAAATAACAGTGGGATTGAAGTCAGAAAATTTTAACAATTCTCTAGGTATATGACCTCAGCCTCATGATTTAACCTATGTGTTTTTTACACACACACACACAAAACCAGAGAGAGATGAGATACTAGGGATCAGAAGATCAAACTCATGATGCTTATAAATATTTAATCAAATGCAAAAATTAAAAGAATCTAGCTGACTTTCATTCATCCAACAATTGTCAATATCTTACTAATCACTATGTCTAAAGTTGGACAAGGCCTTCAAGGAACCCATAGTACTTAATAAGATAAATATGTACCCAAAAACTTGCATAACTTGACTATCAGTTGGTCTAACTCAGAATCCTGGTGTGGCGCTGTGGGTTAATGTTCTGGACTGCAAAGTTAGTTTGAACTGCAAGGTTGGCAGATCAAGCTCACCAGCTATACAGGGTTGATGTAGGTCAGAACTGACTCAACAGCACTTAACAACAACAGTCAGCAGAGTTGTTAACACAATGAAATACATGGGGCAACACCCCAAAGGGACTCTTGCTCCACCACGAAGTACAGCTAAAAGTATGCATTACTTTAGAAAAGAAGGTAAAAATGGTTCCCAGGGGGCTGTGAAATGAATCAACCAATGAAGAAATAATCAATAAAATTTGAGTAAATTCTTCCTTCATACATTGGTTATTATAATCATACCTAATGGAAATGGGCTTTGAATATTTGGATAATTCAACCACAATAAGCAGACTATATACTATATACTCCAAAATTCTCTTCTAGGACTGAAAGCCTGCTAGCCAAATTCTCCCATACTACTGTAGTTCTTCTTGCTGTTGTTTTCATGTGCCATCGAGTAGATTCTGACTCATAGCGACCCGGTAAAGGGTTTCTGAGTAGTTGCTGGTGGGTTTTTGGTTTGAAGTCCAGTGCTTATCCTAAAGTACCACACCTAGGACAGATTGTATTTTGCTGTTGTTTTGGTGACTTACGGAGACCCTATAATCCTGTTGAATAACATAAACTTTCAACAACATTTTAGAGCATAGGAAATACATTCTTATGACTTAAGTAGCAATCGTACATCATTTCTACTATAAATAGAGGCGAAAACGTTTTGGAAAGAAGGATGATGAAATAAAAAGCTCATTACCCGTGCAGGACTGATGTCAGTGGTGTGAACAGCTACATCTCTTTGTTGAGAATTGATAATATTTTTAATCCTCAAATCCAAATCCTGAGCTACTTCCTCCACCACTTTACAGAAAGGATCCCTGCTGTCCTGGCCTTTCATCAGCTGTGCCTTTATTACCGAGAGTATCTGACCGCCTGCAATGCTGAAAAGAGAAACAAGGTCGTCCTATATAAGACTATCAGAAGAGACAATATGCTTAGAAGACTGACAATATAACTCCTAATGTTAATCAACACCTTTCAAAGACTATAGCTTTTATCTTATAAATCTCACAGTAACGCATTTAAGATAAAAAATAACCATTAAAAAATAAAAACAAGCAAACAAAAAAGTTTTCTTAAAGTAAGTCATTTCAATAGGATGAAATACTACTTCATTTGAAATCTAAAAAGAAATAAGGTAGTTATATACGAAATAGGATAGCAAATTCACATACCTGCATGCAAGAAATATACTAAAAATATACAACCTAACATACAAAATCAGTCACCTCTCTATGAATACCAAGAATATACAGGCTATATTAATTAAATCTTAAAGTCAATCTGAAAAGTCGAGATGACCTTGCTTTTATTACAGACGGGGGTCCCTCGGTAGTGGAATTGGCTCACAGGCTCTGCTACCAAAAATGCTGCTGTCCATCCAAAAGGGCCTCAGCAGGCCTGAACATCTACTTCCAAAATATTCACCACTGAGAACCATCCTCTGACACTTTGGGTGCATCAAAGTTGACTCCACAACTGCTGACTGACAATCTGAGATGAGAAACTTGAACCTCAAAGAGGTTCGATAGCTTGTCAAACAACATACAGAGTTCTGGGCTAGGGGTGAGGAGGTGAGGAAGGAGAGTGCATTCTGATACACAAAGGGAGTCCTGGTGTGGGCATGGCACTGTAGGATAAGCACTGGAAAGCTAACCACAAGGTCAATGGTTCAACCCCACCAGCCACACCTCGGAAACAGGACTGTTATGAATCAGACTCACTCCACAGCACTTAACAATAATATATGAAAGGTTATTACATGAAAAAGGAAATTAAACTATTTAGTATTCATCTAAATCAAATTGGAGATTGGATCAAATATGGCCAACACACTTTAAAAAAAAATAAAAACTTGAAATCACTATTTTTTTTATACCCAGTCTCCCCCAGAAAGAATTTGGGTTCAGTCCTTGTTCTAGAGGACTCACCCAGAACCAATGTGAAAAGTACTTAGGAAACTTTGAGTCTACGCAAAAGAAGCTAGAAATGTCCAACAACAGAGACGTCCATATAGCCCTAGAAAGAAGGTCAAGAGCCAATGAGAAGGTGGTGTGAATAGAATGGGCACTGTAGTCAGAATGTTGCTTCTCATTAAGTGCTGCTGACTCGGTCTGGACTCATAACACCCCTATATAGGGTTTCCAAGGAAAGCAGATGGTGGGTTTGAACCACTGGCCTTACAGTTAGCAGTCCAGTATTTATCCTACAACACCATACCAGGACTACACCAGGAGTCAGAATGACTGAGTACAAATCACAGCTCTGCCACTTCCCACCTAAAATAAGCTACTGATCCTCCTCTCTGCTACTTTATTTTTGCACCTATAAAAATGGAGTCATAACAGTACATAAAACACAGGTATTTAATAAGAAGAAATAAGTTACATAAGTAAACCAGAATGCTGGTTGGAAAAGTTCACATTAGTTAAGTACAGTGGCGCTGTAAGATAAACACTGGACCACAAGGTCAGCTGGAATTGTAAGGTCAGCGGTTCAAACCCATCAGCTGCTCCTCAGAAACCCTAGGCTGCCGTTGTTACTAAGCTAGTCAATTCTGACTCAGCAACTCCATGCACAACAGAACAAAACCCTGCCCAGTCCAGCTCGAACCTCACAATTGTTGCGACACTTGAGCCCACTGATGCTGCCACTGTGCCGATCCATCTCGTTAGAGGTCTTCCTCTTTCATGCTGACCCTCCACTTTACCAAACATGATGTTCTTCTCCAGGGACTGGACCCTCCTGAAAATATGCCCCAAGTATTACAGACGAAGACTGGTCATCCTGGCTTCTAAGAAGCATTCTGGCTGTATTTCTTCCAACACACATTTGTTTGTTCTTTTGGCAGTCCATGGTACTTTTAATATTCTCCTCTAACACAGTAACTCAAATGCATCAATGCGTCTATGGTCTTCTTTATTCAATGTCCAACTTTCACATGCATGTGAGGTTATTGAAAATACCATGGCTTGGATCAGGTGCACCTTAGTTCTCAAACTGAAATCTTTGCTCTTCAACCCTTTAAGGAGGTCTTGTGCAGCAGATTTGCCTAATGCAATAAATACATTGTTTCATTTCTTGACTGTTGCTTCCATGAGTGTTAATAGTTGATCTGAGCAAAATTAAGTCTTTGACAATTTCAATCTTTTCTCTATTTATATGGATGTTGTTTATTGGTCCAGTGAGGAGGATTTTTGATCTCTAAATTCAGATGGGATATATTCAAGGTCATATTTTGGCTCTCATGGACTTGTTTTCATTCTCTAAAGCTTCAGTTTGAATTTGAATATGAGCAATTGATGGTCTATTCCACAGTCTGCCCCAGCCTTGTTTTGACTGATGATATGGAGCTTTTCCATCATCTCTTTCCACAGATGTAGTCAATTTCATTTCTATGTATTCCATTTGGTGAGGCCCATGTGTGTATAGTCATCTCTTATGCTTTCTAAAGAAGGTATTTGAAATGAACAAATCATTGATTTTGCAGACATTCTATCATGCGTTCTGTAGCATCAATTCTATCACCAAGGCCATATTTTCCAACTTTACAAACATCTTTATTAAAGGTAATACAGAAATGACTGCAAGCACACACTGACATAGAACTTCCAGACGTTCAAGCCGGATACAGAAGAGGACATGGAACTAGGGATATCATTGCTAATGTCTGATGGATCTTAGCTGCAAGCAGAAAATATCAGAAAGATGTTTACCTGTGCTTTATTGACTACGCAAAGGCTTTTGATTGTGTGGATCATGACAAGCTATGGACAACATTGT